GGTCCGACTCGATGGCATATAACAACAACAACAACAATATAATTACCATAAAAACCCTATAAACTGTTCAGTTATTCCTAGTGTTACTTCATATACACAACTAATATAGAAATAGAATTTTGAAGCATTATGGTAAATGTGAGAAAATAAAAACCAAAACAATACAGAAATTAATTTTTTAAATACAAAAGCAGTTAATACATGCTTGCTAAAATAGTCAAGTAATACATAGGTAATGACTGTTAACAGTATGTTTAAAAATCTTTCAATAAATACAAATTAGTATAAACATATATATCAGATGCAAAAATTAAAGCAAAAAAAAAGATTAATATGATTAATATTATTGCATCCTCACAGATGACAATTAGGCATCGTAATGTTACCCAAAGTGACGTTTCAGTTGGCTGAACTGAAATTAGCCTAAACTCTAAAAAGAAGTATTTCAAATTTAAAATGCAACAATAAGCTTCATAGACACAGCAGTATTAATTCAGTTTAATTAAAAGATAATTCTATTTTGTTTACATGATCCTTGCAAATGATGTTTCTTTCCCTCCAAATGAATCCTAAACAAGAGGTCCAGAATGGTCATCTGAAGGCATACGTTATTGTGATAACAATATCCTAGGATCTCCTCTGATTCTCAAAACTTGATCAGAACACAAACCTTTCAGAAAGTCAATGTGAAACAACAGAATAGAGTTTAATAAAAAGTATACAAAAGAGAATGTATATATTATTTCTCTTTCATAGTCCTTTCCTGCATAATTTTTTTTTTAAATCTGAAACTACAAAGCTATCTTGGAAATTTTCTGTAAATATACAGACAGCTAAATGAGAGAGAACAGTATGTACAGCAGAGAAGACTCATGGGGAAGCTCATAAGAGTAGCTTCAGGGTGGAGTGGTCAAGGAGATACTCAAAACATGGGTGTTCTGGTGGTGTAGTGCCTATGGCATTTGACTGCTAACTAGAAGGCTGGTGCTTCAAACCCACTAGCCACTCCTAGGAAGGAAGAATGGGCAATCTACTTCCTTAGAAATTGTTGTTGTTGTTGTTGTTTGCCGTCAAGTCGGCCCCGACTCATAGCGACCCCTCCTTGGGTTTCCGAGGCAGTATCACTATGGAAGTAGGATTGCTCAACCTTCCTTCCG